GCCCCCTCGTGGTCAAGATGACCACTTATGATTGTCGGAGGGGCAGCCTGGGCCAACGCTTGGAATCGCCAGGTTGCCCACACATCTCCCCCCTTCCAAAAACGAAAACAGAGGAGGTCTTTGATGGTCTTCGGGGGGGCCTTCCTTCTGGGTCAGCAAGGGTCTTCTCAGATGAGCGAGCACGGGTCCGACGTCAGTACTTCCGGACAGTACCGATGCAGCCATGGGGGGTGGTCTGATGATGGGAGCTGCGTCGCCGCTGTCTGGCACGAGGAACTAGAAATTAAAAACAACATGAGGCCATGGCGTGGTAGGAAAAAGTAGCCGCGCACACGAAAGATGCCTGTCCCACTGTGCATGCGGGAGCGCGGACCATTTCTCTTCTCCCCCCCCCCCAAAAACACCGAAGAGGGCATGAAGATAATACACTTAGAACTCGTGCTACTCCCGGTCGTCTTCACCGCCGTCTCAAGTTGTACCGCGGTAGAGACGGTGTGGAATCTTCCGAGAGGTGGTCCGGATAGTCGTCATCTGGAACCTGCGACACATCTACCTCCTCGGGTTCATAGAAAGCTTTTAGGTCGGCGACATGAATAGACCCGCACACTTCACCAGATTCACAATACACCAGCTCATAAGACAGGTTGGAGAGCTTGCTACTAACACGGTAGGGGCCATCCCACCTCTTTGCTAAAGAGGCCGTGAAGCCTCTAGCAGCATCACTCAGCGGATGAGTTCGCCTCAGTACCAGATCTCCTACCTTGAACTGCAGATTTCGCCTCCCCTTGTTGTACTGGTTTGCCTGCTGCAGTCTCGAGACGTCGAGGCTCTCTCGAGCTTCACGCAGGTTCTCCGTGAAACGCTTCCGGAGATCTTCTGCGAACTGCGTGGTTGTGCGCTGCATGCTCGCAGGATCTGTGCAAAGGAGGCAGTTTCCCAGGGGAAACACGAGCTCTTTTCCAAAGTTAAGTTGGGCCGGAGTAAAACCCGTGGACCGGTTGATTGTTGTGCGGGTAGCGAATGCCATTTCTGCTAATTTCGCGTCCCAGTCTTTGTGTCGTTCTGTATGCGATACAAGCATCTGCTTCAGGTTACGGTTCACTGTTTCCGTGATATTCGCCTGTGGATGGTATGGCGAAGTCCGTTTGTGCCGTATGCCTAGCGCCTTACACGCATCCACGAACACCTTGCTAACAAAATAAGAAGCGTTGTCTGTAATAAGCGTTGCGGCAAAGCCAAAGTGCGCGAACGTCTCGAGAAGACAGTCCCAGATTTTCTTAGAGTGTAGTTTGCGCAAAGGAAACATTTCGACCCATTTTGTGAAATGGTCGGTCACTACTAGCAAATACAGATTGCCGCGTGGACTACGGGGAAAGGGACCGACAACGTCGCAGGCAACACACTCCCAGGGGTACTTGCTTTCGACCGACTGCATTAAACCTGGTGGTTGACCACCTCGGGGTTTTGCCTTCTGACAAACCGGGCAGCTACGAGCGTACCTCATCACATCCTGCCTCATACCTGGCCACGTTGCAATTTGGGACAACTTTTCGTAAGTTTTGCTCCCACTGCTGTGGCCTGCCAAGGCGGGATCATGCATATATCTTATAAATGACTTACGCAGTTTACGTGGTATTACAGACCGGAATGGCGGGCCGCTGGACCCATCGTCCGCCTGGGGGATGTATCGCAGCAGGATGCCGTCGCTGCTGAGCAGGTATGAGTCCAAGTCTCTGGGATTCCCAGCGTCGGCAGAGTTTTCTTCTGCCAGCTGGTGCATCACCTTCTGACAAAGTCCATCGGACAGCTGGGCCGCTCGGAGCTCCTCTCTGCTCACCAGGGTTCCCCACCGCGACTCTGGTGTGATGGGCGCCGCATTGGCCAGTGCCACCAAGTCGGGATCCACCTGCATTTCCTGCCCGAGAAGTGGAGCACGGGACAACGCATCTGCAACGTGGTTAGCCACTCCACGCTTGTACTCGATTGTGTATTTGTAGCGCTGGAGCGAAAGGGTCCATCGAGCGAGTCGTCCTGCAGGGTTTTGAAGCCCTTTGAGCCACGAGAGAGCCATGTGGTCAGTTTGAATGCTAAACGAAGCGCCGTCAAGGTACATGTCAAACTTCTTAAGCGCAAAAATAATTGCCAGGCACTCTTTTTCGGTTGTTGAGTAGTTTCGCTCCGCTCCGGTTAGCGTATGACTGGCGAAAGCTACGGGACGAAGAACGCTGTCATGTTCCTGCAGAAGGACTGCTCCTAATCCGTAATCGCTTGCGTCGGTCTGCAAGACGAACGGACGATTCAAGTCGGGCAGGTTTAAGCACGCGTTTTCAGTCACAGCCCTTGAAAGACACGCGAACGCGGTTTGCTGCTCTTGCCCCCAGCACCATTTCGTTTTTTTGCGGAGCAAGCGGTTCAGAGGTTCAGTCATAGAGTAATCTACACAAGGGAAAGAGTGGCCACTCGAGCCGTTTCGCGGCCGAGCGTTTAGTTTTCTCACCGACCGCTAAGTGGTGCTAGTGTGCCGAAGAATGAAAATATTTCGTGAGGTTTGTTATAAATAAATACTCAAGTTTTAATTTTATTATATTTAAAATTGTTGCAAGTATCATAAAGGGTGAACTAGTTTTTGTTTACTACGTTAAGAAGGTCACATGATGTACGGGCCAGTTCCGGTTCCTGCAGTTGCTCTGGGAAAGCGGCTGGAGTGGCTAAAGCGGGACGGACGGACGGACGCGTGCGTGGGTGGACGGCGTGACCGCATGGTGCCTGACATCTGTCAACGCGTTTTGTGTTGAGCACATGTGAGCACAGCGAGCAGAATATGAGCACAACGTGGATATTGTCTGCGCCTAACAGGTTTCTTCAGAAGGTAAGACGTTTTCTCATTTCTTTGTTATTGCTTGGTCGCGAGCAAAACACAGCGTGCGCATACAAGGGCAAGAGAAAAAAGCGAACTGTATCGTGTCCGTTGGTTTTACCCGTTATTTGCATGCTCAGAGGTCCAACAGACGCTGCGAAATAAACCTCAGACAGCAGCCGGCTTTTCCCGTGTGTGTTATTATTGTTACATGGGCTGCGCATCGTACTAAGAGCTACGAATATTTGTGTTTATATCTTATATTTTTTCTTTCTCAGATGCCCTCCGGTTGCTACTACGGTAGCTACTGCTCTGTCGCATGGTGCGAAAACAATGGTAAAACGCACAAGAAACCCGGCACAAAATTTTTCCGAATCCCACGTGACGCAAGGTAGGTTGGCGTGAGCTCCTTCTTGTCAATAGTTCCTTGGAACCATTTGCATATTTGAGCATATAAAAAAATCCCAATAATTTATTTTTCTTCACAATATAATTATTTACTAGAATGCGCTTTTAAATCAAGCGCTAAAGTTGACTGGATGCCTTGACTGTATTGTGGGGATTTGGGCTAAGCGATCTCAGGTCAGTTATTCTAATTTTAGTACTGACTTACCACTTTGTCTTTGAAGATAAAAACTGACAAATTAATCTTATAAGACAAAATTGTTAAGGAAAAGAAGCAGCCCTTGATTTGTCTCATACATAGCTTGAATGTATCGTTTCTAATGTGGCTCTAAATTGGGGTTATAAATGTGCTGCTTCATGGTGGAGTGAATGTTCGTGTTTTTTTAATGTGGCTCTAAATTTGAGTTATAAAAGGGCTGCTTTATAGTGGGGTGAAGGTTGCTCTCTACTGATACTGTCTTTTCCTAAAGGAATGTGAATGTGCACCTGCTGCTAATTAGCTATAAAATGACCTGTTGTTGAGCGAGTTGGTGAACGTTAGAAATCATGTTTTTTGTGCGAAAGGATAAACACAAGGGTGGACAACAAGCACAAGCGCGCTTGTGCTTGTTGTACTTCCTTGTGTTCGTCCTCTCGCGCAAAAACCATGATTTCTTAGTTGAGCTACTTTTGCACTACTCTGGAGCAGGAGCCCAAATTTGTCTGTGTGCGTTGAGACAACCGAAGCAAACCTCCAAATAAAAATATGTCCCCATCGCTTGCAAGCGGAGCCAAAATGTCGAAGAGAGGGTTGCAGATTGGCATCTAACATTTTGTTCTAAAGTGTACATTTAACACATTGGAAAATAATATATATTCCAGGTCAAAGGCTTGGCTCGACTATGCCAAGAGGTACGACCTTCTTGGAAAGTCTGCTTCGCAACTCTATGCCACCTATCGCGTCTGCAGTGATCACTTCACTGCAAAAGATTTTATGGACCCAGGGCAAACAACCCTAGTGCGATCAGCTGTGCCTATTGTTCGTCCTCCCATAAACTGGGCATCTGCAATAGGTGATTGTAATAATGTGTTTCCCTCATATACACAAAGGTATAAGTAACTTCTCTATGTAGGCTAATAAGCCCATTCTTCCAGGTCCCACTCAGGCAACCAGCTCATCTGGCCCTTCACTCCAGTGCAGCTCCGTCGCAGCGAGCCGTGCTGTGCTTGGTAAGAGGTTATCTCGTCATGGTGCACTTCTGTGTCTAATAATGAAACCTTTCCAGACCAGGCAGAGCCCGAAAGACTGCAGAATTCACCAGTCCCATGCAGCTCCGCAGTAATGCACTCTGCAGTACTCGGTAATATAGAGTTATTTTAAAACATCAGCCTGTGCCTAATATGCGGACTCTTCCAGGTCCCACTCAGGCAACCAGCTCGTCTGGCCCTTCACTCCAGTGCAGCTCCGTCGCAGCGAGCCGTGCTGTGCTCGGTAAGAGGTTATCTCGTCATGGTGCACTTCTGTGTCTAATAATGAAACCTTTCCAGACCAGGCAGAGCCCGACAGACTGCAGAATTCACCAGTCCCATGCAGCTCCGCAGTAATGCACTCTGCAGTACTCGGTAATATAGAGTTATTTTAAAGCATCAGCCTGCGCCTGATATGCGCACTCTTCCAGGTCGCACTCGGACAACCAGCTCGTCTGGCCCTTCACTCCAGTGCAGCTCCGTCGCAGCGAGCCGTGCTGTGCTGGGTAAGAGGTTATCTCGTCATGGTGCACTTCTGTGTCTAATAATGAAACCTTTCCAGACCAGGCAGAGCCCGACAGACTGCAGAATTCACCAGTCCCATGCAGCTCCGCAGTAGTGCACTCTGCAGTACTCGGTAATATAGAGTTATTTTAAAGCATCAGCCTGTGCCTAATATGCGCACTCTTCCAGACCCAAGTCAGGCAACCAGCTCTTCTGGTCTTTTCGCTGGCCACTGTGGTCCAGGTCAACACTGTAAGTGTCCCGTTTTGCGTTCGCCACTTTTTGAAACATATTTGTGTGAACCTCTATAGCCAGTAGAAAATACAATATGTCCCAGAAGGATCAGTTTAAAGAATTCTAGGTCCCTTTATAAGCTATAGTCTTTGCTTCGTGTGTGTGGCATACCGATCTAACCATTTGTATTACTAATGACTGGGGAGGTGTGGGAAAATGGAACACACATATCAAGCCGAGGTTTCAAGAGAATTTTTCATGGCTGTTTTGAGTTTTTCATGCTATTTCAGCCTTTTGAACTTGCAAGGTTATCAAGGATTTTACGTGAAGACATTTAGTACAGAACATTTTACGTGACTAGTAAAAGAATAACGTAATTGGTGGTCAAAAGTTTCACTGGCTTTGACAGTGCTTAAATGGTAAATGCACAAGAAGAAAATTCAGGCTTCACTCCACCTGGTATGCTACTGGTTAGTGGTGCTTGTACTGGTTAAATCGTATCGCACTTATTGAAACTGTTTTTAATCTCACTGACTTGTTGCCATTTTTATAGCTGGTCCAAACCATCCTGCACCTGTTTGCCGCAAGCTCACGAAAAGGCCCGAGGACGTTATCAAGCGACTCCAGGCGAGAATTTCCAGCTACAGAAAGACGATAGCCAGACTGCGGAAACAGCCGCTGAAGACGCCTCAGACAGCTTCTCAAGCTCTGGAAATAATGCGGCCTCATGTTTCTGAAGAGGTTTTTCACCTCATATCATCGCATATAAAGAATAGGTCGAAGGGCAAGGGGAAGCGATTTCCACTGTGGCTGAAGAAATTTGCGCTCCATCTGAATTTTCATGGACCGCGGACATACCGATTTATGTCTTCAGTGTTCACGCTACCATCTCGGCGTTCACTACGAAGGTGGCTCGCCATTGTCAAAATGACGCCAGGTATCATTCCAGGCATAATGTCATCGATTGCGTCAGAAACAAAGTCATGGAATGAACGCGACCGCATTTGTACTTTAGTGTTTGACGAGATGATATTGAAAAAGAACTTGTCATACGATGTGGCGCAGGATGTTGTCCTCGGATTTGCAGATGATGGTGTTGAGCGAACTCCCAGTATTGCTGACAGAGCCCAGGTTTTTCTCCTCTCTGGAGTTTCTAGGAGGTGGGTGCAACCTGTAGCATACAATATTGGGCATACGTCAACACCATCCTCTGTAACTTGTAACCTGCTTATGTCATTGACTGAGCAGCGGAAGGACATTGGCATTACTATCAAAGCAGTGGTCTGTGACCAGGGTGCCTCCAACGTAAGTTTGGCGCATCAACTTGGAGTGTCTGTTGAGCAGCCATTCTTCAAAGTAAGAAATGAAAGTGTCTATTTTATTTTTGATGTCCCGCACCTGATAAAGACCACCCGTAACAACCTGCAAGCCCACAAGCTTCACATCGAGAGTGAAACTGTAGACTGGAACTACATTGTGCAACCTTACCACTCCACGCACGACATGCGACTACGATTAGCCCCGAAACTGACAGACCGGCATATTTACCAGAAACCTTTCAGTAACATGAAGGTGAAACGTGCGACTCAGGTCCTCAGTTCATCAGTATGCGTTGCACTTTTGGCTCTTGTGTATGCCAGACAGCTCCCTGAGGCGGCCATGTCCACGGCATACTTTTGTGACCGCATAGACAAACTTTTTGACTGCCTTAACAGCTCGAGACCAAAAAAATCTGAACAAAAGTTACGCTATGCGATTAGAAAGGGCGACACTGAAATCGTTGATTTCCTTTGCAACCAACTTCCATGGGTGGCAGCCTGGAAGTTTGAGGGTAGACGGCAGCCACAAACAGTCACTGGGTGGCAGGTTACTATCAGGGCCGTCCTCATGCTCTGGGAGGATATTTCTAAGAAATATAACTTCAGCTTTCTTTTGACACGGCGACTGCAGCAAGATGCCCTCGAAAATATCTTTGGGCAGATGAGACAACAACACGGCTGCAACACCAATCCTAATGTGTATCCGTTTACTTGTGGACTGAGGCACATTGGGATTAGGAAGCTCCTAAAACTCTCGGAAAAGGGAAATGTTGAAGATGACAACACTAACCTCCTTCAGGAGATGTCCCCGTTTTCACTAGAGACAACCTCAATCGCTGATGCCGTGGAATGTGCCCCCGTGGACGACTTCCCTCCATTGGACGATATGTCGGAACTTGCATCAAGTAAAGACTCTAACATAATAGACGACTCTGCTACCTATTATGTTGCAGGATTTCTAATCAAGCTGTTCCTGGAAAAAAGTTCACAGGGTTGTCTCTGTTCTGGGTCACTGAGGGAAGAGTCTGACAACTTGAACTGGCCCCACCAATAGTTTACGATGCTTAAAGCCTTTCATGTTCCAGGAAAGGTGTTCGGCAACTTAACTGTGCCGTCGGAGGCTACTTTCACTTACATTTAGAGCCTGGAATCGCACTTTATGTGTGTTATAGAAAGCGTAGCACACCTGCGCAATGTCTGTGATGTTTTGTATCACCATCTGTCGCGTATTGGTTCTTTGCATTTATGCTCCGAGGAGTGTCAGCGGAGGTTTTTGAAGATGTTTTGCAGGGTGCGGTTTTGCTGGCATGTGCGCTTTATTAATCGAAACTTGGAAAAAGTTCGGTTTCATTCTTCTGTTGCTGGCGCTCAACTCGACAAGTTCAACGCTTAGTAGGGTATGGTGTTTCAGGCGCCTATGAAAGAACGATTATTAATTGGGTTGTGCAGTTTGCATGCCGATTATATTTCTGGCTTTTTTGCAACTTTATAATGCAGGACATAGCTTTTTATATACGGGATGAGGACGTCTTGTAGCAAAGTGATCTTTGATGGGTGCGTGCGTGGAGTATATGCCGAACATGTCCGATATGTTAATGTTTTAATCAATGTGCCTTGTATATTGACCAAATGTTGTATGATTACTTTGGTAATAGATTTTTTGTATATTTTTATTACCTAACACTGTTAGGTGGTTTGACCTTAGCTGCCTGTTCGTGCTGTAATTTCCCACAGGCCCTGTACTAGAATTTCTATATTTTCTGCTGCACACACATTGTGTTGAATATGCATGGGAATGTTGAATATTCCCTGGATCTGTATGAGGTCCTTTTTGTTAGCCTACGAGAAGTGTTAGACTACTAAATAGTGTAGTGTATATTGACATTGAATCTGCTTCTTTGAATTATGTGCAGTCTAGGCTGTGCTCTAATAGCGTAAACGACCTAATCTTCACGTAGACCTAATTTTCGCAAATATCGCGATTTGATCAAGTTCACAAGAAATTGGTAACGTGAACAAGTTGCCCTACGGACATGAATACATGCAATGTCACTCACTGTGGTGAAAGTTTGTGCCCGCGAAATATTCCCGAAACTGGCACATCGCTAAATGTCGAGCTCGCAACAATAAAGTTGCTTACAGTACTTGTTAATGATAGCTATGGCCACATGTCCACATTACTGAAACTGCTCAGCATTCTGACAACCAATGATTAATTCAATCAAACCGTTTAGCATCACTGGAAAGTTCTGGTTTGGAGTGTTGGTAAATGTGGGACTCTTGTAACGTTTCTTCTTGATATGAATGTGTGTGCCCTCATGAAGAATACTTCCCGATTCTGAATTGTCCAAGTCTGTTTATGATTGACCTCAAAATAAATCATTCTGAAGCACTTTTTGTTGTTGCCTGAAAATACTTCGTAAACACGTAAACAAACGGAAGCAGTATGACAAGAATAGATATCTTAATATTTCACATCAGTAAAGACATTAAATTTTGCTCTTTCGTGGTGTGAAGCCTCTAATCAGAAGCATTTGTGCCATCAAGTAAGGGAAGCCGCGCGACAGCACGCTCGGCAAAAAAAGCGCCGGAAACGAAACCGAAACTGAAACCACCGGAACCGGAATCAAGAGTAAGCTTTTCTCATCGACCGTTTGGCGCGCAAGTTGTTTACGGGATGCTGGGGCCTACGGCGGTGTCCGCTCTTTACCTTGTGTAGATTACTCTATGGTTCAGTTATCTCAGCGCATTGCGGAATAAAATCTCTATAAAACGCAATCATCCCGAGATATCTCTGTAGGCTTTTGACGTCATAAGGGGGTGGGTACTCCGTTATTGCGCGCAGCTTATCTTCATTCGGCCGCAGCGTTCCGTTATCCACAACAAATCAGAGAAGGTTGATTACAGGCGATGCCAACTGGACTTCATCTGGATGAATCGTAAGGCCGGCTTGACGCATTCGTTCGAGTATGATCTGAAGGTGCACGAGATGCTCCTCGAATGTTCGTGAAAAGACCACTACGTCATCCATGTACGCCATCGCAAACTCGTACTTCGCGTCACCGAGGACAACGTCCATTAGGCGTTGAAAGCTGGCGGGAGAGTTGGACAAACCAAAGGGAAGGCGAGTGAATTCGAACAACCCCCTATGGCAAATGAATGCGGTCTTCTTTACATCAGCCGGATGAACTTCGATTTGAAGAAATCCGCGGCTGCAATCGAGGGTTGTGAAAACAGTCGCGTTTCCAAGGGCATACATTACTGAAGAAATACTAGGAAACGGGTAACTGTCTCTGACTGACACTTCATTTAGGCGCCTGTAATCAACACAAAGCCTTGCTGTGCCGTCCTTCTTTGGAGCAAGGACTACCGGACAAACCCACGGGCTTTTTGACTGACGTACTGCGCCTGTGTCGATCATTTCCAATAGCGCCGCTTCAAGAAGTTCGCGCTTGTGAGCACTTATGGGTCTCGGGTTGCACCTCCGGGGAGGTGCATCCTTGGTTTCGATGCGGTGCTGTAGGAGATCGGTTTTCCCAGGTCTTTCCGTGAACATCGGCGAGAAGGGTTCCAGCAGTTGCTGGAGCTGCTTCTGTTTGTCTTCACCGCAACACTTTTGCACGGCCTTGAGCACGCTGTCTGGAAGTAAAGGCATCTGCCCGGCAAAGTTTAACGGGAACGCTTGGCCGCGAATACAATCTTGCCGTCTGGTAAACGGCGTTAATTTCATTCCGCCACCCAACCAATATCCATCCTGGGCAAAGTCGAGCAAAACCCGCTCCGCTGCAATAAAATCTCTACCGAGGATCATGGGCACCGGCAGTTCTGGGAGGTATAGGAACCGTTGTCTTCGCTTTCTACCATGAAAGGAAATTCGTAACCTGACTGCGCCGGCAGCAGGCAGTACGGACCCCGATGCTACTTGCAATTTCACGTTTGCTGACCGAAGATGTATCTTTCTCTTGTTACATTCCGCAAATACAGGATCCCCAATAAGCGATATGTTTGCTCCAGTATCTAAAAGAGCGTCTACTGGTATACCTAGTACATTCACAGTCATACGAGGTTCAAGAGACTTGGGTGTAGATTCGATTCTACCCACAGCTGGGATGAGCACTGTCGGTTCCTCGTTTAGTGAGGTTGTTCCTACCTCCGTCGACTGGTGCGAGTCCATTAGCGGCCGGCCATCCAGAGCGACCATCCTTGGTGTTGAGAACTTCAAAGCGGCTCTGACGCTAGGGATCGGGCCGGCCTTTGGCTGAAAGGGAATCGCATTAGGGTCCAACTCAAATGCAGTTGCTTCGGGTAGCGTAGGACCGGGAACAGTGGAAGCTGTTCGCCCGGAGATCAGTGCAAAGGCAGACGCGCCGGG